CGCAAACACAATAAGGAAAGATATAATTCTCATTATAAAGACAAAAGGAATCTGTCACACAAAGCTGTATGGTCAAAACACAATTATCCTTTCCCTCAAGAGACAATTTCTTTGTCCTTGTGGAAGGCAGTGGTGTTGATGCTAAGGTTTTCACTGGTCAGGTATTTGGAATAGAGAAGGTTTTCCTTCGTTCAACAAGCTCTCTAATATGCTGATCATCTTCATCGTACAGAGATGGACTCTCCAAAAACCTACCGCGATGAAGACCTCCCTCTCTGTGGGCATCCCAACAGGTAGCCAGCCATTAGTGGCGCGTCTGCGGCTGACCCTCTTTTGTTTGGTGCTGCTGAGGCTTGGCACAGATGGCGACTCCTTTGTCGATAGCTGTGCGCGGCCCACAGACAGAGAGTCACCGGAGGGCTTGGTGCTCTTTGGGCACTCCTTGGCTAGCCTTAGCCTAGCCTGGGGTTGGTCTCGTCCAGACAGGTGGTTCAGTAGGTGGGGTTTAGTCTGCGTGGAAGTGGGCACGCTGGACAGAGGGCAGCTGGACATGGGCATGGTGGGGGGAACCAGAAGGGAAGGGTTGTGATCACCCTGAGGGGAGGGGTAACCCTCTGAAACAAAAAGGTGACAGTAACAATAAGCAAAGGAACTTCTGAACCCCATCAAATGGTAGCTGACACAGCTGGCTACTTATCTTTAGCATAAGCCACATGAACCTTAAATTATATATACACACATATAATTTAAGGTTCATGTGGCTCATGCTAGATAGATAGATATATACAGTGGAACCCCGACTTACGAATAGCCCGTTTCACGAAAAATTTAAATTACAAAGGGACTGAACGGCAATATTTCTGTAGTAACGAAATCCGCTGGCTCTGATTGGCTGAGCCTACAATGCCCACAATGCCTTCCGAATCATGTGACAACCCCTCGGCTTTGCTGTTTCACTTGAACGACGTATTGTTGGCTATAGGCTAATTGCTAGTTAGCAATTAGCCTATAGCCTATCGTTCAGCATCGCCTCACTCAAAACGTGCAATGGGTTCTTCGACTTACGAAAATTTTCGACTTACGAAAGATCCTCAGGAACAAATTAATTTCGTAAGTCGGGGTTCCACTGTATATAGATATATAGATATATATTTTTTATTGTTTTTCTGCTTAAAAGAAACCTGCTTCTTTTATCAGTCTAGCTACGTACATGACACATTGTAACCGAAAACTTTACAATAAGCCTAAAGCTCCTTAGCCACACGTCTAAAGCAGTTACCTCATTCTGCAGGCAATTTAAAAGCTCATGGCAAAAAGGACTACATAAAACAGAAAGGCTCCACTTGCTTGATTTCACAATTGGCTTGAGGCATATCATTTATCAACAAAGGACTCTTCAGTGTCTTTAAGTAATAGCTTTATGTCTAACTATTGGAATAAAGGTTTCTTTTATAATACTGGCAAAGAAGGCTAAAAAACAGCTAAATCAAAGAAGTGTTATCTCAAAAGAACTTGCCATCATTGTGAGCAAATCCTCAAGTGGCCTCAGAAAACCACTTAAGACGGTGATAATTAATAATCAGCAATTAATACTGAACATTTATGAAACAAGACCAAATCTTGGGGCATGGGGGTCAATCCACTCACCTGTTTTGATATTGTGCGTGCATCCACTGCATCCTGTGCTAAAAGAGCAACCCCTGCTGGTGACAGGAGCCATCGCTCTGTAGGTATACCCACTAATCCCGCAGGCGTCACCGTAACAGGGTGAAGCCACAGAATTGCAGTAGGCGGGGTGGGCTAGTCCCGACGGATGTGACACCTGCTGCCCCAGCAGCTTGGAGCCGCTCATTCGACTAGGGCACAAACTAGATGGGGGCAAGTTCAGAGGTCGCGGGGCCATGGTGGCTGAAGTTGTTCCAGTGTGTGTGGGGTGGGCGATGTGGACGTAATAGCTGGAGAAGCAATGGTCGGCGGTGCAGAGGCAGGGGTGAGGGCTCAGGGTGAGCGCCGTGTGTGGTAGGGAATGTGTCAGCGATGGTGAGGTTACTAGGCACTCGCGCTTCACAGGGCTCATGGCTGAGTTAAGTGGCTGATCGTCTGATTCTCCGTAGGGTTGCTGGCCTAAAAAGAAGGCCAAGCCGTGACAGTAGTCCATTGAGCGCTCTGCAGGAAAGCAGTAGTACGGGCTCAGCTCAGTCTCCAGCTGTTCCTCTTTCACTTTCTTCAGTGGGTATGCTAGCATACTGCGTGACTGGTAGCCCGGTTTTGTCAGTCGATGGGTGCAGCCACCCGTTTCCCACTCCACCTTTGGCTCAAAGCCCGCCTTCTTGCAAGCTGTGCAGCCACTGTGCAGGGGGGGGATCTTTTTCCCCTTCTGCTTTTGTGTGAGTCCCTTGTGCTGAAGTTTGGCCCTCGAGTGCGACTTTTGGGTCGAGCCCACGACGGGAGCCTTGCAGTCTGAAGTAACAATAGCAGTGGGTGCAGCCTTTGCTCTTTGTTTACTGGTAGCAGAGGAGCTGGTTAGCTTCAGCAGGGCTGCGGCATTAAGTCCAGCCAACCGTCTGGGTGCAGGAGCGTCAAGGCACTCCTGACTCATCCCCAAACTTTCATCCCCTCGGCTAACTTTGGCCCTCTTGGCAGGCTTAGAGCTTTGGTGCGCTTCAAGTTCATGAGATGTGGAGCCTTTAGTGTTGGTCCCTCGCAAAGCCTTAAGACCTCCGCAGACACCACCTCTCGCTGGATCTGCATCCAGGAAAGCCCCTGCATTTATGGGTTCCTCCTGTCTCTTGGCCTGTTTGGCTGCTGGTTGGGGATCAGTGGCTCTTTCTAGTAGCAGGCTGTTTACCGCCTCAGCATTGAGAGAAGCCAGTCTCCGCTTGCGTGGCTGAAAGACTCCCAACCGAATACCTTTGCTATAACTTCCACTGCATGATTTTAATTTGTTTTTTGGTGACGACTTCTCCTCTTTTCCGTCACTGCTTTTCCTTTTTTTGGACTTGGATTTGTGAGATAATCGTCCGCGGCCATCCTTTCCTTTACTTTCCTTAGACCTCTGCTTTTCACGAATGTTTTCCTCCAGTCGGGTCAGGAGGACATGGCAGCTGAGTCCTTCACTTTCTGAATTCCCAGCCCTCCCTCGCAAAGGGTACATTTTCCTGTC